AGCCAATATGGCATCAGAATACAGGGTCTTCAGATTAGTTGACATGGCTGTACATGAAGAGATATTCACATCATCCCAAACAACACGACCTGAAGACGGCACATGCAATGCCTACATCAGGGCTACGTAGTCCTTGATGAGCTGGGTTATCTACATACCTAGCCCAGTCCTGTAAAGGCAGAAGCATCCCCATCTAGGCTGACATCATGTCTGTATTCTCCCACCTTCCTCTACATCCTCCCTACCTATCCAATGTCATCCCTGTGTCATTCACCTGGCCTGGAGTTCTAGCCGAACGGCTCCCCGTGCGAAGTGCTCAACCTCTGCGTCTCCGACCTGAAACGGTAGATGGGGGCAGCAATCTGGGCCAGCAGGGGTGGGGGTGGGGGTGGGGGTGGGGGTGGGGGTGGTCATTGTGGCGGTAGTAAAATGATGCAAAGTGTGACTCACGCTCCGGATCATGCACAGACATTATAGATAGGATCGAGGATCGTACACATGGCTCTATGTCACTGGCAAGATCTTTTTGAAAGCAGCACTACCGATGATTGATGTTAAAGAGAAACAAACACCGATCACAAGCTGTACCGGGCCAGTTTCATTTCAAAATGTTCTCACAACTTGCCCCATGCCCTCTTGCATTGGCCTCGAAGGGCCCAAATGAGAGAAGTGAGTCGTAGCGGGGACGCAGGCCAACCTGAGGAAAACACCGAAGGAGCGACAAGCTTCACTGAATGGGAAGGTGGGGCGTCAGCAGCTGTCTCAGAACTTCCCACGTCGCAGTGCATGAACTCAGCGATGACCTGCAAAGGTTTATCGACAAAATGGCCAGCAGCTGAACCCGACAGACATGGCCCACCAAGGTGCAGAGGCTGTTCTCCGGGGGAATCTGCCAGGTTCCTTCACCTGAGTCTGCTGAAAATGTGCTGCGATGCTGTGATCAGCGCTAGGCCCTGTGCCCTGTCGAGGCAGTTCCTGGAGTGCCCGGTCCTCAGGGACAGCAAACCTTTGCAAGTCCCCAAATTCCGTCATGGGCAAGGCAAAGCAGCGCTCACGTCCTCGATTTGTCCAATCGTGACATACAAGTCCAAGACGTTCTTGCCGTCAGGAATGTCAGAGAGGCTGGCAAAACACAGCTATCGCATTGGCTCGGAATAGGAGCAGGAGTGGGGGTTTCCCACCATTAAGGGTAGCTTTCTTGGGGGTCACCAGAATAAGGATAATGGCTAATAGTATGTTTGGGTCTACATAAGCCATAGTCTAAACTCCTAGCATCCCCCCTAGTAACCCCTATAGTAGTCCCTAGAAAACTAACTTTAAGGAATTTAGGTTATGGCTCATGTTAGGGTCCTCTTATTTTGGAAAACCAGCAAAGTGTCACAGCTGGGGCAGAGACTCGGTGAAGCCTCCATCGCTGATGACTTCGGAACGAGCACCAACCATTCGCGAAGGCTGGCAACACTCAAGCTCAGACCGAATTAGGGTTTTAGGGGTTTAGGGTCTAGGGTTTAGGGTTTAGGGTTCAGTATGGCAGTTTCCATTTTCTTTTCCATTACACCTATATAACCCCTATATACTATGGCAGTTTCCATTTTCTTTTCCATTTTCCCACCACCACCAGAAAAGCATAGACAAAGACCCACAACGACATCAAGAACATGTTTAGGCCTACTCTGGAAACAGAAATTCAAGATGATCACAGCAAGGGAAATGCGCCAGAATGCACCAGGGCCTGTGCAAATCTCTGCTCCTTGCGCTTCACAAGGCGCAGCTGAAGCTCCTGAAGCTCGTAGCACGAATATTGAATTCGCAACAGAAAACCACTGAAAACCCAGACCTTCTACATCTTTGTTGCTTCTTTGGTAGCAGATGCAGATGCCCTTTTGACTCTTGGCCCTGTTTGAACTTGATGCTCGTTTCTCTCGCCTCGGAACCCTAATATACCAATATCCCCCCAAATCCGTAGCCCTTGCTACGCAGATACCGAAGCAATTTCGCAAAGCCCAGACAGTGGCTCCTTGATGCGACCTTCGCGATCCTGAGCGATCTTGCGGAAGCGTTCTGTGTCGGACATGGTAACCTGCCAGATATTCATCAACTCAAGGTTCTTGCACACCCCACAGAGAAAAGACTCCACCGCAAGTCGCTAAAAAGAAATACATTATTGTTGAGAGACCGCCACCTGCAGGCATCCAGAAATCGACCGCGCGCAGTCGCAAAACTTCCTACTAATCTCCTTCATTATGAGCTTACACTGGACTATCCCGCGAGAATATCTGTGATTGGCGAGCAAGTGGCTGAAGGAGCTTTTTCATGGCACGTCAACAAGACAGGGATGGTAAGTTGTCTTGACATGAAGTTCCCCTTCCGCGATGTACCCATGCTACAGACACGATTCGGTGCGCCGGCATGCAAGATACCTCATTGCAAATTGTAAAAGTAGCTTCAGACTTGCCGCAGCTGCTCTGTAGATAATCTTGATTAGTGTTGACTGCCACCAGCACGAAAATTCCAGAAGTGTTCAGGTTGTCACACAGATGCGTCATCACAGGAGGCCTGCATCTGCAGGCTTATCTCTTCCAGGTCCATCTGGTGAAGCTTTCGCAGATCCTGGCACACATTGACTCGGAAAGCAGCCAAGCACGTTGGCATTGAAGCGTAGAAACTGCGACAGACCTTGGTGATGTCCCGCTCGCGCTGGCAGATGTCTTGCAGGGCACGGAGCTCAAAGGCCAGCTCGTCCTGCAGATGGGCTCTGGTGCGGAGGACTTTAGCACTCTGATGGTATCTAAGGTTAATATTTTTGTACACACCCCTTCTTTCTACTTATCTTGGCGTGCGTTTACACTAATACTATAGTACTGCTGACCACCAGACCAAAATCAGGACTCCAATTCGTACAGCCAGGACTACTACTCGTACTACTCCCGCTGCACTGCTCACTACCGGACAGACTCCTTCTCCGCACGGATGGCATCCACGCGCCGTGTCAGCTCTTCGACGTTGGGGCCCTGGCCAGGCAGTGGAGGTGGTGACGGCGGTCCTTGGTCAGCGAAAACAATCAAAAGACTGAGAATAGCAAAGAATAGCCAGAAACATATTTACGGTTGATGGCCATTATCACCAACATGCAAGTACTGATGACGATGACGACGGTTACGATGAGTACGAGGAGGAGGGCACCACTGATCATTGCATTCATTCACTTTTGCCCCAGTGGCCTGTACTCCGCTGCGCCTTCGCACACAGAGAAAGGTGCAGCTGCACTTGCAACATCACAGGTGCCCAACTTCAGAAGACTTCTCCACTCAGGGGCTTGCGGCATCAGCCCGCTCTGCGACTTCCGCAGCAGCCTTCTCCTCTCGCTCACGCAGGAACCTTTGCACGGCGTGGAGCTGAAGCAATTAAACTTCACAAATCTTTCAAAGGCCCCCGCTGCAAGGAGAACACCATGACCTCTGCAGAACATAACAATGCCTATGTAGCGGCCGTGTATGTGCCGCTACCCTCTTCATAACATGGGCATGTCAACACACCTGACATTCGGCTATTTCCGCCTTCCGATCTTCATCTTGCAGCGTGTCCAGGACTTCGGTCAGCTGGGACTGTGCTCGGCGGACAGCCTGCAAGCCGCTTGAAGCCGGGCCAAGAGACTAGCCATTATAGCAGTTTCCATTTTATTTTCCATTATCCCAATATATAACCCCAATATACTACAGCGTATGCATAAGGAAGCTTCTCCAGGCCTGGCTGACTGGATTCAGAACTCTCAAAAACCGTTTTCTTTCGAATTCTCTGATGCTAACTCCTGTTAGGGCCACAAGTGAGCCTAGCCTACCGTCACTATTGCGGGTGACTTGGTCTGAGCCACTTTGCAAGACTGCTATGCAATTGCTTTCATCTGCTTGCTTTTGCTGGGTCTTCAAGCATTACGACGTCCTAATTGTCATTGTTGCTGTCATTGTGCTGCTGCGCACCCTTTGATTCTAGGCGAGTGCTACTGCTGCACTACATCAATGTCGCAGCCAATCATAGAACTTGTCTGCTAAGGCATTTTTCCACGCGCTCTGCGTGCACAGGTAGGTCCTAGCTGTCCTAGCTACTGCCATGCCACGTTCTGCAGGATTTCTGTGAATAGCATCGGCACATCTTCGAACCAGCCTCCACCAACTATGAATTGCAATCTGCTGCGCACGCACAATCGGATGGAGGCATGTACACGGACCAGGGCTTCAAGGCCCACTTCTGCTATTCTTCAAGGTGACGCCTCCCAAAACTGCATGCATTCGTGCATGTCATGACAGTCAAAGCCTGATGTTGCAGCACCTTGAAAAATGCTCCTGCATCCCCGAAAGAGAATTCTTGGCAAGGAAACAGTCCGGCAAGAAAGCTCAGAGCTTCTCAGCAATCGTATTTGATGACCTCGCGTGGACAGGCACTAAAGCGAGAAACTTAAGCGAGCCTTTCCAATCCTGAGCTCTCCACACCCCACTTTGCAAGGTTTTCCTCGAGCTCATCTGTTGTGACCTACTAACATCTGCAGTTCCAGCAAATGCGTCCAAACAGCCAGCGCGGCAACGCCGATTGTGCCACATAAAGTCCAGCCTCGTCTCCAGACTTAAACTCGCTGAAGCCAACCACAGTGTGCTCCGTCTTGCCGTCCTGCATATTCTTGCGGCGGCTGATGCTCTCACTGCTGCCATTTATATAGCGGTATGCTTGTCATCAGTACAATCCGAGACATGACTACCGGTGACTAGCACTGCTTCCACAACTGTCTCACCCTCTGCAGAATGCAGTGCGGAAACATCGTGAGACTATAACTAGAAACATACACACACACATGATCTTTGACCATAATTCGAAGGGTTGCTAGGCTGTAGTTCGGATTAGCTAAGTGTTTTCCTACTTGGGGGATACAGTAGCGAAGCCACCAGACCCCGGTCCACGCAGAGGACAAGCGACGGCAGGCACCAAATGTGCAATCGCCTGAGCTTGCTGTTTGTTCTCATCACCTTGATGACTCTCATGGATCTCACATCTTGTCATGTGTAGCTCATGCAGTGCCTAGAACACAATTCTCACAAGCACCTCGAGAAGCGCATTGATGGTTTACTGAAAGTCCTGTTACAGCTTGCATACCTGGTGGCGTGCAGTTGCCTCTTTTGAGTGTTGGAACCATATAAAGCCCAATAACTAGTGTGGCAGCCATTGGCATTGTTGCTAGGGGTATCCTGGCTACATGACCCACAGCTGGCTTCAGGTAAGCATCTCTGACAAATACGGCGCTTTCTCCGCGTTGATCTTGACAAAGCGAGTGCCCCAGTGCTTCTGCGAGAGCTGCCTGAACAGCATGAATCCTCTGCAATATGGCAATCGCAAGCAGGAGTTTACTAGTACTACAAGGACTGATATTCCAAGTGCAGGTATCTCTACTGACAGCGAGCTTTCTAAAACCCCATGATGGTGATATCTTGGAACGTGACATCATGCCAAGGCTGGCCAGCCTCAGATGCTTGTCCATGATCTCGCATCTCCAAGTGCTTTCTCTCCAAAAGTGCACAACCTCAGCAGGGAACTCGTGTCATGACTATTTCCAGTCAGCTCATATCTACTATTTCCTGTATGATTGACATGACCCTGCTGCTGCTGTACTGCTACGGCTACGGCTACGGCTACGGCTACTGCTACTGCTACTGCTACTGCTACTGCTACTGCTACTGCTACTGCTACTGCTACTGCTACTACTTCTACTACTACTACTGCTACTACTACTTCTACTACTACTACTGCTACTACTAGTACTACTAATACTACAAGTACTACTCCTCTTTCAGCATAGCCATTTGTCGCCAGTCCGTGATAGGATCACCAGGGCCCAAACTATCCTTTCGCTCTTCTTCGCAACATCGAAGAAGTCCTGGATGCAACTAAAAGTATCTGGTAGCTTCGGAAATTCTGGTTCTAGTTAGGATGCTTCTGCAAAAAGAATGCCAATGGAGGAAATGACTTATGAACGCTTGCGTGCATGTGCCATGCTATCAGCTGCATCTTTTTCTCAACCAAACTGGACAGAGGACCATGATGCTAAGGGAAGGAAGGAAAGGGAAGGAATCGACCTGCAGCTTACGGCTGCGGCCTCCCACACTCTTCCCCCACTGCATCTTAGGGGGCTGCCGATAACATCATCAGCCACCTCCGCAGAAGATTCCAGAGGGGGTTCAAACCCTTTAGGAAGCCCAGGCAGGGCCGAGGGCCAGTAGGGCCGGTTCAAGGAACAGCAAAGCCCGGTGAAGAAGGTGAAAGCCGGAGGCTCAAAAGGCCGACCTGGAGTGAAGAAGCTCAACAGGCTCAGGTAGGCGGGCCCGCTCTCAGAGGTTGGACTTTGACAGTGGCATTGGAACAAGGGGATCGGGGTCCGGCCTTTGAACACACAAAAAAAACCTGAGGATGCTTTCGGAATCACGGGAAGCTTGCGAGGATGAGCAGCCATAGGGAAGCGGCAGCAGTAGATGCTGCGGGAAGGCCGGGTTGCAGTGGGGAAGGGGGAGTAGGAGGGAGCTTCGCAAAGCTTTTTTCCTATCACATGTAGCTCAGATCCACTTAACGGCAGGAGGTGCCCCAGCATGCAATGACAAGCTGGATGTGATGCTGCAACACTTTAGTGACGCGAGCATCAACCTAATCTTGCATGATGGAAACCTGTATCCCAGCAAGGGTGGCGGCTTTGTTGCTGCACAACTTATCAACTTCTTTGTTGGCAAGCCACTGCCAAAGCTCATCTTCACCATTATTGGCAAGCCATTGCTCCCTGGTAAGGTGAGACTTGATTTTATGCATCTTAAGCCTGCCAGGTCGATCTCGGCTTAACTCAGCAATCTCAGTCTGCACATCAGGATGCGTGAAAGTAGCCACAGAGTTTTTGCTTAATTTGCGTTCCCTGTTGTAGACATACTGGGCATCAGTCACAAAGCAGAATGAATTCAGTGTGGCTTTCAAACAATGCAACAAAGTAAACGCCTCACCAAGCGGCACGGTTTGGACTTGACCCAGTAGGTTGGCAGTCATGCTTCCAACATCTGGCCAAACACCCGTGGAGAATGTTTGATCAACGAAAGAACGGCACAAGCAACCTTACGCTTGCGGGGATCAGCACTGTAAGGACCACCACTAGCATCTCCACCGAAATACATCTCAGGACCATTTTCAAATGGCCAGTTTTGTGCGAAAACACCTTCAAGTTGCAAATCGACGTGCGCATTGCCCAAGTTGTGCGTCAACACTCGCAAAGCTTTAAAAACAACAACACTGCGGCTTGGGCAGCACGGGACACTTGCGACTATGAGCAGCCGCAGGGAAGCGGCAGCAGCACATGCTGCGGGAAGGCTGGGCTGCTATCGGGGGCAGGGGGAAGGGAACCAACAAGCTTCGAAGAGCTAAAATTTGCGGCTAAGGCACCACGGGAAGGTTGCGACTATGAGCAACCATAGGGAAACGGCAGTAGCAAATGCTGCGGGAAGGCCGGGCTGCAAGGGGGGGCGGGGGGAAGGGAACCAAGAAGCTTCGAAAAGCTAAAAATGGTGGCGGCAGCACGGGAAGCTTGCGACTATGAGCAGCCATGGGGAAGCGGCAGCAGCAGATACTGCGGGAAGGCCGGGCTGCAATGGGGAGGGGGAGCAAGAAGAAGCTTCGAAAAACTGAAAAATTTGCGGGTTGGGCAGCACGGCACGAGGATGAGCAGCTGCAGCAAACAGGCGGCAACAGATGCCGCGGGAAGAGGGGGAAGGAGCGGCACCGGCACCGGCACCAACAGCACCACGTTGCCCCAACCACCACTGCCACCACCACTACGACCACGAGCACGAGCACCAGCACGACCACAGCCCAAGCACCACAGTCACCACCACCAGCGCCGCCACCTCCACCACCACTGCCGCCACCACACCACCACCGCTACCACCACCACCACCACCACCACCACCACCACCACCACCACAGCACAACCAACCAACCAACCGACCGACCAACCAGCCAGCCAGATAGCCAGCTAGCCAGCCAACACAACGGCGAAGCGAGGACGACCGTGAGCCGTGCACGAGGAACCGTGTGGAGGTGGCAGGCCAAGTGCAAGCCCGGAGGTGCATGTACGAACAGGCAAGAGCCTGACTGTAGGGGCAGGGTCAAAGCCGCGGCAGGGCATGCTGAGGCAGTCCGCCAAACAAGAAGTGATTGCGAAGCTGACCTACGGCGGAAATGCAAGTGAGGGGCGAGACACGGAGGGCGGAAGAGGTAATTGCAGAACAGGAGCTGTTGCCAAGAGCAACATCCCCTGATGATTTAGACGGCGAAAAAGATGGCGACAAGAAGCGCGCAGAAAGGTCCGGCCTGTTCCGGGGCGTGCAGATGGAGAGAAAGCCGCATGGCAACAACGGGGCGTGCAGCACAAGTGAACGGATCAGGCAAGACATGGCAAGCTGCGCGGAGAACAGCTGAAGTGAAACCACATGGTAAGCTGTGGGGCGCGCGAGTGAAGAGAACACCAACATGGCAAGCTGGCGGGCGCGCAGCTGAGGCGAAGGTAATGAAAGAAGTGGCAGTCTGCGAAGCGTGCGGCAGAAGCGCAAGCCACACGGCAAGCTGCGTGGTGTGCAGCTGAAGTGCAAACCACGTGGCAAGTTGCAGGGCGTGCATCTGCAGTGAAAGCCAGGTGGCTAGCTGCAGAGTACGCCGCTCAAGGCAACAGACAAGAAATGACAAGCTGCGGGGAGTGCATCGGAAGTGAAAGCCACACGGCAAGCTGCGGGGCGTGCAGCTCAATTGAAACCAAACGCAGCGGAAGCAGCTGAAATTGAAGCACTGCTCATTTAAAGCTACCAGGACGCCAAGGGTCAGAAGAATACGGTAGGTGGCATCCAGTAGCATGTACGGCAGCAACAACGCTGTGGAAAGGAGGGCAAGCAATACCTCAACGAGGCCGCTCAAACCCAATGGAACACAAGGGACAGGACCAGGACAGGACAGCACTGTCTCGGCCATGAGGCAGGTTGATACACACCGAGAACTCCGTATGAGAGCTGCCAAGGGCCTGGCAGAAGCGCAAGGCGCAGCCAGCAGTGACATGGCAGGGACAGGACGAGGGCACTGTCACCCCGTGATGGCTGGCAAGGAGTGGGTGCTCGTCGGGCGTGGGAGTGCCCTTAGTGCCGCCCTGTGGGGTCCGCACTTCTCCGAGAAACCACCCAAACCGGAATAGCCGTCACGGGCCCAGGGGCCAAGACGCTAACCCTAATCCCGAAGCTCTTAATTCCAAACTCTTGCAATAACCAATAAAACGCAAACAATAACAATCACAACACTGCACTCACCACAAAAAAACGACAAGAATCATCATGTATAATAGTGATAATAATGCATCTTAGGTCTGAAACGTAAAGTGATGCTTAACACTTCGCAAAATCATATGGGAGGAGAGTCTTCCATCAGGGTATCCCAATATACAAGGGACCCCAAAAAAGTACCCTTAAGCCCTAACCATAGACCCTAAACCCGAAACCCCAAACCCTCTCCCTGAACCCTTAAATCCCTTAACTCCAAACCCTAAACCCTGAACCCTAAACCCTAAGAAATAAACCCTTATCCCTAAACCCTCATATCTGCCAGGCCTTCTCCTCGATCATGGTGTACTCACCATGCCCCACGGCCATCTTCTTCACTTTATCCTGAGCCATCTAAGGGTTATGAGAATTATATCAGAGTTATTTAGGGGTGATATAGGGATTATATGGGGGGTCATAGGGGTGTTCGAGGGGTTATATAGGGATTATATTCCGGGCGAAGCCCTACAGGTTTCTTTGCAGCATCCCTAAGCCTCATGGCAGCAGAGAACAGCATATCTCGAACAGCAAAACTGCAAGGAGACCGTGGATTGTTAGGACCGAGGGCGTTTGCACTTCCCCAGTTAAACCAGCACATAACCTGAAAATCTTTACGACTTCAGTTGTCCCCTGTAATGGAAAATGAAATGAAAACTACCACTAAGGGTTTAGGGCTATGTCTTTTTTTGTTTTTGCTGCGCCTCTTTTCGAACAGAGCACGAAAAGCCCACCAAGGCAAGCGCCAGGTTGTCCATGTCCCAAGTCAGAAAAAGAATCGGCATGGCATTGCACGACCCGAGGACAGGTCTGAGAGATCAAATGACACTGCAGCACGCTTATCATCCATCCAAGCCTTCCCGCGCCATGGGTTTAGGGTTTAGGGATACTACCCTGATAACTGAGATGGAAAAGACAATTCGAAAGTGGGATCACATGGTGGTTGATAAAGGATTAGGGTATCCTTTGGGACTTGGCCTAAGTTACTGTTCCCAAAGGGGGGGAAATTGAAATAGGGAACCGTAACTAAATAGCAAGCCCATTATATGGACTCGGTGTTAGGATGAATTCAGGGAAATCCCCATTCAGGGAAACCCCCATTTGGGGTTGAGGGTTAAAGGTTCAGGAAGCTGACTGGGATCTTTGGAAACTCTTAGCAGTTCTCAGAAAGTGAGGGTCTTGCATCCTGAGATGCGCAAGTACCCCCACAGCACGGGTTGGGGTGTCCTTCCACACGGACGAAATAGGCACCAATTGACCCCACCAAGGTCTGTCCTCTGCCAGCCCTGTGAAGCACACACACGCCCAATTCGCTGCCCAGTTTGCTGCCACCACTGACCTTTCAAAGCTACAAACCTGAACCTCCAAATCATCCAAACTTGTCAATTCCAAATCTGAGTGAAGCAAGGCTCGGCATGGGAGGACTTCATCTGCTCGAGACGCTTGCGCCGCAGTTCCGCAAGGTCATCTTCCTGCAGTGAAAGTGAAGGGCTCATCCCCGAAGTTCTGCAGCAGTTTTGTGACAGTATGATGGCATTGCCAACTGTGTATTTCGAAAACCAAGGCATGGGACGTGAGGACGACACAAGACTTGTGTGCCTTGAGTTGTCATCGCTGATTACTCTGGAACGTCAAGTTTGCAATTATCGATTCTAGCATCTCCATCACGTTTTTGATGCGACAATGGCAACTGCTGCCTGATCCCAACTACAAGCACTGCAACAACTACTATGACTGCTCCCCACCCTGCACCCATGAAATTGTGATTTTGTGCTTGCCGGTAAGTGTGGATAGGTGCACCTTGATGGCGTCCAAGCGGGCAATCTCGGCATCGATCTCGGCTTCCTGATCCTGCAAGTTCTTATGGCGCCTAGTACTTGACGTGCCAACATGGTCCCTCAAAATTTGAAACCATCAAAGTGGAGTGTCAATGCGTAAGTCCATGATGCGCCTGTTCAAGTTCGAGACAAGGCCAGCACAACAGCGCGCAAATGCGGTATCGAGCACATGAGTGGCCGATCATCTACCCATCAGGAAAGGCTGGCATCATCGGGGCCTCGGCAGCCTTTAGCAGCACATCATTGAGTACTGTGATGTTCCTTGGCTTCTCATGAACCTCCATCAGGGCAACTGCAACCAAAAGAACCTCATTTACAAACCCACGCTCATGCTGCAACCGGGCTCTTCTCAAAATAGCCCATGGTGCTCGCGACCTGGACCTGCAAGGATAGGCGTTGACGGAGGTGTGGTGAGGAACTCCCCCCCAAGTCTCAAGCCACTTTCACATCAATATCTCAAGCACTGTGAAAAGATCCAGGCCTGTTTAGTCACCTTCTGTACACAGCTACTTTGGGCTTGAGCCAAAATCCAGCGATTGAAGGCAATCATGCCATGCGGGCGCAGCCTGCCTCCAACAAGTGAACATAATAAAGCGCAAAAACATGGATTGGACAGTGTCCTGTAGCTTAGATTGCAATCGAATCCCCGGTTGAAAGTGATCGTCAATTGGCTTGCAACCCATGATTCTCCAACAGTGAGCTCCAACTTGTTCCCACATTAAGGTCATTGCAAACCTCGTATGCGGACTCGAAGATATTTGTAGCGTGCATCATCTTCATCATCATCAGCATCAGCAGCAGCAGCAGCAGACACAACAATATTGACAGTCAAATGCATCCTGTCTAGACCTTGCCCGAAGGCAGATTGAAGGTAGGTGCGCTTTGGTTCTACTTGCTCCACCAGCATGCCTTGGCCCGCTCTTCCATCTGGATGGCCTTGCACTCGTTGTCCTGCAGCCACACGGATCGGTAAGCCCTGACCAGAGCATACCAGATCAAGAGCATGGAGCATGGATGTAAGAAGTGCAACGAATTGATGACAGAACACATTTTCCGTCGCCTGCAAGTACAGCAAGGTGGTCTACTGCTGACTTGATTTAAGGCGAGTAGGCTGCTCATAATGCGAGCATGCATGCAACATGTTGGCCGTGGCCCAGTGCCGGTCTTGGGACAAGGAGGCGAAAGATGATGATTTCATTCCCGATATCGCCTTCCATGCCCAAATTTCGACAATAAGGCACATAAGAGGGACAGAGTACTGGGAAAATCACAGCAAGACCTCGCTTGCGTGAAGCCCCTGTGTCAACTGTACAACTTCACTTTTCTCCGGATCAAGCCCTGTGGCTGTTGCCCTTGCCCTTGCCTCAGCATCAAAGACAGACAGGCTCTACAGTTGCTGACACGAAGCAACCGCAGGTCATGCTGCATTTGCTTGCATGCTCTGCGAGGCATGTAAAGCAATCTGTGCCGCGCGCCTTTTCCCTTAGAGGATCTGCGCCTCAGCTTCATGCGTTTAAGTGTGCATGAACTGGGGCATAGTTGACATGTGCCATACCCCTCCCATTCCCGTGGCTGGCGGTAGGTGCGCAAATTGCAGGCACCGATCTCAGGGCAATGCTCCTGCGTCCATGTTTGTGGGGCTTGTCCACCTTGCAGCACGCAACCTGGGTGCAACTGGATGCAGACGTTGGTTGAGCAGAATGCTCCGTTGTGAGGCTGGAGGAGGCATGCAGGACATGTGTTATAGACAGCGGCCACTCCTGACACGACTGAACTTGTTGACCATCACAAAACTCCATTTGATCCTTTGTTACGTTGCTTTCCTCCAGCCACGAGTATGCTTAGGCTTCCGCGCTGCACGGCGGGGTCCACCCACACATTGGGCTTCTCCCTTCGGAGGTCGACCAGCAGTCCAGCGGCTACCTGCAAAACTTCCGGCCGCTTCCAGATATGCGAGTACCAGAGCTCTCATCTAGAACATCACCTAGGTCGACACCACAACTTTGCATACGTTGGCAAAACCAGAGCCTGGATAGCTCATATACATTACCGCACGTGAAACTACTGCAAGCACTACCATCTTTACCACTGAGGCTACTAGGTCTGATATCGCCACTATCATTACTAGTTGTACTCCTCCTGCTGCTTCTACTGGTGCTCATGCCCTACTCCTACTCCAACCCATCCTGCTACTCCTACTGCCTACTGCCGCTACTACCTCGCACTACCGCCACCACTATACTTATTTTCTACTTCGTGCCCTTCATCATTCCTTTGAAGTGTGTCTGCTCCCCTTCAAAGCTGGCCTTGTTCCCTTCGGGAGAGCTTGCCATGGACGAGAGGGTCTCTGAGATGGCAACTTCCTCGATGCCTGGCCCAGCTTGTCTAGGTTTCAAGATTTGGCGGTCCTTCTTTCAACCGCTGCAGCTCTTTTGCGAACGGCTTTTGTCAGCGAGGGCTTTTAGTCCTTGGGGTCTAGGTCAGGTCTAGACTAGCAAAAGCAAGGACCTGGGCATCAACACTCTGCCGTCAAGCAAAGATCAACCGCACTGATCGCACCAATGCACCAAGTAGAACAGCAGTACAGTAGCATTAAGAACTCTATGCCAGCACAGAGAATGATGCTTCTAAACCTACCAGTGGACCACTGGACAGGTCAAGTCAGCCACTAGTCCGCCTCACTTCCTTCTCCCCCTCTACCTCTACCATCATCCCATGGCCACCACCGCCACAGCCGCCACCGCCACAGCCGCCACCGCCACCTCCACCGCCGCCGCCACCGCCACTGCCACTTCCACCGACACCACCACCTTCACCGCCGCCACCACTACTCCCACGGCTACTGCACTGCCACCTGCTACCACTACTGCTACTGCTCCTATGACGATGAAAACCACAATAGCTAAGACCAGCACCGCCACTGTCAGCACCGCTACGACGACGACCACGACCAGCACAATTGGCATCACATGTGGTAGTAGTCGTCGTCGTCGTCGTAGTCGTCGTCGTCGTAGCGGTAATCATACAGTATTCCGGAAGGGGAGGACTGCAGTACTAGTGTAACAAGGTCAGACCTGGGCAGGCGGCCAGCGAACGACTGGACAGGAAAGGCCTCAAGCAGTGGTGATCAGTACTTCCACATGACAATGTCCACAATCTTTCTGGAACGATAGCAAGGCCTGTGAAAGTTATGATTCTCGTTGGGAGCTAACTGGCTGTATATGAGGCTTCGACAGCGGATTGGAAAGGCCAAGTGCACCACGCAGCAAACCATCCACCTGGAAAGGAGGTGAGGCATGGCAGACACATCCCCTGAGCAGGCAGAAACTGCAGCCTTTTCGTACTGTCCCTGCTGCACCGCGGTTCGGAACCTCACTAACGCAAACTTGCAAACACAGAGCAATGGAGATTTTCTGGCAAACGCTGATCAAATAAATTGGGTGCGGACAGCATCGAGTAGGTTCTTTTGTCTGGCTGAACCTCACAAGTTCTTGGCAAGTCTGCAGAGGGCGTCCCCTGTAAATCTCCTCTTCAGCTGATGCCTTGCCTGGCGCTCCATCATCTCCTCAAGAGTTCTCAATCCCCTCTGCAGCTGCTTGCTGAAGCAGCAGGCCTGGACCTCAGCAGTCTGACTGGTCATGTGAGCTATAGTCTAAACTCCGAGTATCACCCTTAATAACCCCTATAACAGTCCCCTATATAATCCCCCAAGTGATTAAGCCTGTTTAAGGAGTTTACAGATTATGGCTCACATGAATCTCCACACATGAGCGTTACTCGGCCATGTAGTCAGGGCTGCTGCAAGGTTGGCATACACGTGGGAGTTCGGGTTGAGGTGGTACTTGCTCGACAACTCCTTGACCTGCATTGCCAAGATGCGTGCCGAAATCACTGCTCCAACCGCGTATTTCTCCTAATTGGTGTGACCGTAGGTACCTGCGAAAATACATCTCTTTACTAAGCACACAACAAAAAAATGTGGTTGGTAGGAACTCCCAGATCCAATCACTGAGAGGCCAACAAGTTCGAAGGCTTGGTCCACTCGACGAGCTCGGCTCATCAGCTTCACCTGAGCTATAGTCTAAAAGCCTTGAATTAAAACAGGTTATGAAGAGGATTATAATCATAGCAACGAGTATGCAACGCTCATGCTTTGTCGTTCCATCTGCGCATGATCCGTGTCTTGACCGAGGTCAGAACCAGCACAGACAGGGTAAAGTTGCTCGGCTTGACACCAGCCTCCTACACACACCAGGCAGCGGAAGAAGAGCGCTACGACATGCCTTGAGCAAGCTGTAAAATCGCGCCCTTGCAGTTCTAAAAATATGTTGCTGATGTTATGCGATATCTTGTCCTTGTGTCTGCCTAACAGTCAGGCTCCGCACTGCCGCGAACAAGACTGTTGTCCCCTCATGATGTCTTGGCCTCCATCTCCTTCAGCACGCGCAAACCTTCGTCGACCAGACTGCTTTGCGCACAGCCGTCAAGGAGGGAGTTGTACCTGGCGCAACGCCACAGTCAAGAATCGGAGCGTCCCGTCAACAATGCTTGGGATTGGATTCGAAGCTTCTAAAAGGATCCAGTGGTCACATGATCTCGTCCGGCACCAAACCTGCCTGCGCGGATGGTGGCTGACTAGCCGACATCGGTGCAGGCTGGCGCATACTCCAACGTGAAGTTGACTGGTACAAATCCACGATCAATCCGCAAGTGTATGCGAGCGCCCTCATCCAAGCAACACTTCGTGTCTTTTTCCAGGGGACATGGGCCTCTTCCCTCATTTCCTTGACCAGCTTGAAGGCTGCCGAAAGATCACCTGAGTTACGGTCTCTGGCCCCGAAATAATTTAGGGATCGTTGTGAGACCACAACATCGAGAGACCTCCACCCTACGGTAGCTGGCCCAACCGGCAAAGATCTCATCTGGGACACAGTCATGGTTGATTCATTGCTGATTTCGTGATAATGAAGGTTGACTCAGAAAACAGGTTGCAATGTTGGACTTGTCCTCGGCTCGCTTGGCAGGTGTAGCATGTGAATTGTAAGCAAGGTTTGGAAGCAATTGGAAGGAACTCAAACTAAGCAGCGCGCCAACTTGACAGTGACCCTTCAGCATGGTGCTGTACGTGATGATGTTCGGCTTGATGTTGGCCTAATGGGCAACATCGGCCGACAACCTGCCTGCAACTGCCACGACTGTATGTGTTTTGCCCAGTGTGCCTTCTTCATGTCTGCCAGGATGTCAGGCACTCCATCCATGCCTCGACCAACGGACACAGCAGGCAGCAGGGAGGCATAAGACTTCAGAGCGCACGGCGCTGGCTTGGAACTAGGGGCAGCACGGCAGCAGCGGGCACAGCAATCCAGAAGCGTGTTGTAGGTGACAATCTGAGAGCTTTAGGACATCCCGCCACTGACGGACGAGCCCAGGGGATACTAGAACTGAGGAAAGAACTGACAGATCAATGTTGCGCTTCTGCATCTCCTGCACAAGCAGAGAGAGGTTGAAGGGTTGTATTTCAAGCAGTCGAGAACCTCATAGACCGCCCAGACTCTGGAAGCATTCTTCTCCCTGGTGAAGCCCTGTCAAGCAGGCAGATGCCTCCCAGTCTCCCAGCCAGCAAGCACATCCATGCTGCCTTCAGCACGGAGCAGTAGATCACGGCATTCAGAATGCCCTTGCAGTGAGGATCCTGGACAGATGGTTCTAAAGCGTGAAGAGCCATCAGACTGGACTACCAAGCCTCCCCAAGCTCTTGGATCAGATGCCAAGCTCCATCCGGGTCTCCGTTGGACACCACAGCCTAGAGCAGCGACTGTTTTCAGGCACGAAACATGCTATGGGACGAGAAACTTGCCTCGATCATGCAGCCGACCGTGATGCTGGTGGGCTTGATGTGGCCTGGCTTACACGAGTCCGCCCTGCAAAAAATGTGAAGGGTCACGTCATGATGCTGCCGCGGGCCACCAACGCACGCCAGGGTTTCGAGTCCGCATCTCCTTCCAGCAGCGCCAGACCTTTGGCAATGCAATGTCGGCAGGCACCAGTGCCCTGAATGAAGCAACGGACTTAGAGTGGCTGGAGGCAAGCGAGGCTAGCAGGTAACCTTTGAAGACAGCCGAGACCAGTGTATGTGCACAGGGCCCCTGCTGACGTCATATCGCGGGCATGTCCGTAAGCCTGCAAATCCCAGGAAAACGTCTGAATTGCCTACAGCATCAGCGAAACGAGGAGCCAGAGAACCTTTTCAAGAAAAGCAAATGCATCAACAAGAGTGCCCAGATGGCCGGGAAAGAAAAAACAGCAACGTGCGCGTTGGCGATGAGGTATGTTGAACACCGGTAGCCTCTTTCTTGTTGCTTTTCGCCCTTGTAATTGCATTTCACAGTTGGTACGGAAGGCACTGGGAGTCTTTTGAATTCTACACTTGCTAGGCAGACTGAGGATGGGAGAAGAAAACGCATGTTAGATAGAATTCACCAGGAGAAGCCTTGATCAGGCTGCCAAAAGTGTGAGAGCCGTTCACCTTGATGTCACCGGACATCAGCTGCCTGCTCGGATAACCATCTAGCAAGCTTGCACAATCCACAAAACTTACTGAAAGTTAGTAAGGAATGAGGGAACATACTATATGGGGATGGATTATAGAAGGATTATATTCCCTTATTCCCTACTAACCTCCGGTAAGCAAAATCACACAGTCTCTAGTTGCGGCCTCAGCTTGGTGTTGAGAAGATCCGGCTTGCCGATGCGAACGCAGGCTTCAACCTGCTTGATTGGTGTTCAGGGTTCAGGGTTTAAATTCAGGGTGGGCAGTTTCCTGAAATAAGGTGCTGCAAGCTATGCTCAAACAGTGCAGGGTCCTGACATAACCCCATTTTTCAGAAACTCCCACAGATCTGGCATTTTCCCAAAATGGTTTGGGGGACCCCAATAGAGACCCCCAAATACAATAATTCTTACTATGGGGACCAGGAAAACCCCAATCTCTTGCCGCAAAACACCCATATAGACTCATCAATACTATAACCTTTCTCCTAGGAACCCCAAAAAGGGTATCCGTAATTCTGGGAAGCCCCCACATATACCAACAGGGACACCAAAACCCAAACAGGCCAGGCCGGCTACCGAAGAGAGCAAGACCTCATCAAGCTGCTCCTCCATGTTGTTGATCAGCTGCATCCTGTTGCTCGGACTGGAAATTGGGTGGTTGTCAAAATTATGGTCCCTTTTTGAGTACCCTAAATACTTAGGTGCCGCATTATAATAGGGATCCAAAAAGGGACCATAACTTTGAGACAACCACCCAATTAGGGTTTGGTTTAGGGTTTAGGGTCTAGGAACCACTGGGGTTTGGGGTTTAAAGGTTTGGAGGTTTGTTTTTCTCGTTTGTATGGGACCTTTTTCCCATTGCAGTCAAGCCCTCGGCTGAGGAGGCAATTCCTCCCACACCAAACGCAAGGACTTCGAGCAACTCGGCTGTCAAAAGATCAACAGGTTGAGAGGTCGAAGATTTGAGGTCAGCATTCAGGGGTGGAGTTGCTCAAACAGCCCACCTATCATACTCCAAACCCTAGATATCCTTGTCAGCGAGTACTACTAAGCTTGACCGTGCTAATACCCACCATAGTTATGAGGAGAGCATGCAATGGATGACGACGGTACGGTTGGTTGCAAAACTGGTAGTTACGATAGTCTATGTATCTTTTGATCACCACACCAGTAGAAAATCCAAGCCCCCCGCGTCTGGTTGATGTCCGACTCTGGGGAAGAGCCATTCAAGTTCTTCAGCAAGATGGAGCCTGGGTAACCAACCCATGAGCTACAGTTTGTACTTCTTAGAATTTTGGGAACTTATTGTGGCGTCTAAGAATATCATCGTAAATGGCCTAAGTGTGAAAGCCTGTGTGCGCCTTGCCTACTTGGGAACCTTTGATGGCTCCCGCAGCTCATGTGAGCTGTCATCTAAACTCCTCGTATCCCTTGATAACCCCTATAATCCTATATAATACTCCCCTGTATACTCCCCTATATAACCCTCTTTGAGGAGTTTTGACCATAGCTCATTTGGCGAGTTGTTAATGTTCCAAGGTCCTGGCAGGTGACCTGATTTGGTTTGACGCCTGCCGCCTGCATTTCCTGGATCACCTTCCACACCTTTCACAGGCACCAAGACTGGGTGGTAGGTACTTTATAGGCCCCCCAAAAATCATTTATGAGCTCCCTTATACAGTAGAGGAAAATATCTAAGACGATCCAACTGATGACCCCACTCCACTCCAAATCTGAGCAAATCGAACCATGATGAAAGCGCTGGAAACATGCCATTTTGGGCGCAACTGTGCGGTTGCTGTAAGTCTAGGCCGTGGTCACGGCTTAGCCAGACGGAAACTCTGTCAGCTACTTTGGCGGGCTTTGGCTTCCTCTGCGACCTCCTCTGGGCCATTGCGGCATCCCCTTCACCTCCGTCTCCATCACGTAAGCGGGCGTGTATCGGCTCTGAGGGAGTACAAAGTGCATGACAAAGACACTCATAGCTCCACGTCGTCGTAGACCGGCTGCGCTGCCGTCCATCGGCTGTCCAAGTTCTCCAGTTTGGGAGCCGGCACTGGCGCACTGAGACCGCCCCAAGCATTGAGGTCCGGCTCTGGGCGTAAACCTCCCAGGCTGCTCCCCACGCGGGCCAGGTCTCCAAGACCTGGGCTGAGCCCAAGGCTCCCAAAGGCCCCCAAGCCGTCCTTTCCTCCAAAACCTAAATCGCCAAGGTTGAGATTTGGGCCATTTGGATGATTTGGGCTCGGGGCTACCTTCTGTGCTTCCTCCTCCTGGCCTGCGGCATCTTTCTTACCAGTCTTCCTTTGGCTTCGTCTCACCTTCTCCACGTGTCGATCAATCAGCCGCGTGTAGCAAGACATCATATCACCCAGCGCTATAATGATCTCTAACGCGTGCTCATCTTGGGTCTCATGGACCTGGGCTATACCGCCAGTTGCTGCCAGCCGTTTACTCAACTCATCCAGGCCAGAATGAATGATATTTTCCGCATCTCCGACGTGTTTGGCGTCCATGTTGGTCAGTGGCCAGTCCTCCTTGGGCCAGTCTGGTCCCTGCATTCGGACCAGCATCTCCTTCTGCTTGTCCTGCATCTGGAGCTGTCGCTCCCGGAACAGAGAGGTGATTTCCATCGCCTTGGTCTTAAAGGACCGGGTATCGCGTGCTACACGCTTCTTGGCCCGTGCGCGGAGGCTTTGGACGCTGTTTCCGCAGAAGGCAATTGCAGTCGCATCCTGGGATCTTACAAGATAAGGATCCGATGGTCTTGGAGATCTACTGCTAGGGACATTGTGTTACGTGGGTGCAGTACAGGGATCCGTTATAACTATTGTACAGGGCTTCCTTTCAGAAACCTCCGCCTGAGTTGGCGGCTTTGGCGGTGGAGCCTTTGCCATGACTCGGCTGTACTCCTGGGATCAAACGGATATGGGGGGGTTCTCCAAATGCGGGTACACTTAGGTTAATCTGGAGATTGCATAGGGATTATGGTTGGCCCCGGTTGGTATCATCAAGCCTTTGACAACAGTGTACTCGTGAAAAACTTCTACGTTGGGGCGAACAAGTACAGGTGCTGCTGACCAGCCCCCGGAGGTGGATTCTTTGATGCAGTGACCCCAAAGGGCACCTGCTGACAAAAGTTGTGGCTTGTCAAGGGATCCTTGCCTGGAATGGAAGTCCTCCTGGAATGAACACTAAGTTCCTTTCTGCGTCTCCGGCTGCGTGCATACAAAGATGAACTCAGTTAGCATGGTCCCACAAAGCTATGCAAGAGAACAGCTGCCAAGGCAGCCTGCACTTGAGGCCGCAACAGAACAGGATTCCGATTAGTGTGTTTTTTCTGCAACGCATTTTCCGTCTGCACGAAAATGACTTTCGTCGGCCGAAAAGCGTCCTCGGAGTCCTTCTTAGGATTTACGGTTTAGGGTGAGCCACCACTCTCGTGATCCCGATGATTGCCACATTGCTCCAATCTCAATATGTAACCCTTCGAACCACACTATTGCAATCTTGGCATGATCCCCGCGACCCGCGCAAGGTAGCATTTTTGTTAATTCCCTTGAAATCTTCCCCCTACTATAAGCTTCACTACATAAGCACCAAGGTTCCCCTACTTACCCGACCTCAAATGGATGGTTGTCAAAATCATGGTCCCCATTGCAACAAGGCCCCGAATATTTAGGATATACCCTAAATTGGGAGCATATTTTTGACAGCCTAGTGGATAGTTTGAGACGCCTTCTCCAAAGACACGACCGACTCTTTCAGCTTTGGCAGGAAGAATCGCACTCCTGGGCTGGCCGTCTTCCGGTGTGCAGGGCTTTGGGGCTTAGAGTTTTAGGGTTTTAGAGTTTGAGGTGTTTGGGCTTGGGTTTGGGATTTGAGGTCTTACAGCTTTAGGTTGGTGTAGGTGAGAGGTGTGTTGGTTCTTCCTGTGGTTCTTTTGTAATGGAACTTTAGTTTAGGGATTGGGGCTTTTGGTCTCCAGGCGTCCCGGCCTTAGGCATTTGAATGTAATTAGGGTTTACAGGATTTGAGGTTTGGGGCTTTAGGGATTTGGGTCTTGGGTCTTCTGTTTTTGTGTTGGGGAGGGACACCGTTTTCCGCGCGATGAATCCTGGCGAAAGCTCACTGTCTTTTGGGTTTTAATGCTGGTGGGAGACTTACGTGTGCTCGACATTCGGCACAGAGATAGATACGGTGCTTCATGAGGATGATGTTAGGTCTAGGGTTTAGCCTTTAGGGTTCAGGGTTCAGGGTTTAGGGTTTAGAGTTTAGGGTTTGGGGTTTATGGTTTAGGGTAGTTTGGGATTTAGGGTTTGGGGTGTAGGGGTGTAGGGGTGCCGCCTACAGTGGGATGCACAACAAGGTTCCTCACGGCCACCATGTGAGCTATAGTCTACACTCCTAGTATCCCCATTAATAACCCCCATAATACTCCCTATATAATCCGCCAAATAACCCTCTTTAAGGAGTTTAGACCCTAAAACTGAACCTTAAACCCTAAACCCCACATTATATAATCCCCTAAATAACCCTGCTTTACGGAAGAACTCCTTCCTAACAGATTCAACAGGAGCCGAGGCTCGCTGCATGTAGGGCTTAGTCTGTGGATGTTTTGCAAGGGCCTCATTGTTGGCTGACTCCTTGCCAATCTCATGCGCCTGCAGACGGCTGCCATAATATGCATATTAACAACTACAAAAGGCTAGTGCAATGTACAGTAATAACCTCAACCTGGACAGGACTACAGGACTACAGCTACTGGCTTCTAACACAATATCAGATTCAGTGCTTGGTCGTGTACGGGCCCGCCTGCTGCTGCAAAGATTTGAACTCGGCCTGGAGCGTCTCGAGCTCTTGCACCAACTTCATGGACACACGCCCACTGTCCACGGCCGCCTATGGAGGGAAATTTGAGGCTGAGTCAACAACTGCAAAGAGCGGGAGCTTCCGCAAAGGCAGAGACTGCCCTACTGTATCATATTACTATGATACTACATTACTATAATATTATAATACTATATTACTATAATACTATAATACTATAATACTATAATACTATAATACTATAATATCATATTCCTATGATATTCTACTGCTATAATACCACATGCTGACCACTTGCTGTCGAGGCCACATCACGCGGGGATCCAGGAGGCAATGGGAGCTTTGAAGCCGCCTGCCTTGGCATCCAAAAAGGGGGGTTATACTGGAAAAGAAAATGGAAACCCTAGGTCCCTTTAAAGGGATATGTAGGCTGATATTAGGGTTATATTGGGGTTATATTGGGGATCTATAGGGATAATGGAAAAGAAAATGGAAACTACGGGGATTATAGGGGTTATATAGGGATTCTATAGGAGTTATTTGGGGATTATGTGGGCCATATATTGGGGTTATTGATTGGGATAATGGAAAAGAAATTGAAAACTACCATATGGGGGGTGTCATGTAAAAAGTGTCTCAACCTTCCTCAACCCGGCGGGGGTGCCCTCGGTGATCTTCGGGAGATGTTGGGACTCTTGACAGGGACGGCGGCCCCGAGACTATGAACAGCTTACTTTTCAGAAAACCGGCATCTGATCCACGTAAAAATTCAAAACAAAGACTTGAGAAGCAAGCCAAGGCTAATGACAGAATCTGCAACAATTCAGTACAAAAGCAGGGGGAAGGCTTGATGCGACCACCAAGCAAGACATGCAAGACGTTTTTGCATACAATGACCACGCAGGGGTAGTGAGCACTGGAAAAGGAGGAGGGAGGGTTAACACCATTTCATTCGTACATGACCATGCAGGGGCAGAGTTGATGCGACCAGCATGCATGATGCTTGGTACAATGACCATGCAAGTGCAGTGAGCACCGCAGGGCGCAACCGCCAAACTTGTCGTCATACGCACCATGGCCTAGTGAGCGGAATACGGGTAAGTCAGTCATTCGCGCAATCCATCTGCAGATCCATGAGTGGATCCCCTCGCATGGTAGGTATGTAAAAATTGATTTCTCAACTATGACCGCCAAACGAACCTATGAAAGAATCGATCTGCCCACACCCTCAAACAGAAGACTCAGCTCACTATGAAAAATCAATCTGGAGTCCCCCACCTAACTTGAGATAGAAAAACTTGCTCGCTGGTCTCCAGACTTTGCTCGCCGCTCCTGCTGCTAAAGTTAGAGACATCGCAGGCCTAGCTCCACTAGGCTTCGTGATTTGCGGCCAGCCGGCAGCTCATCTACCAAGTTGCCCAGCCGCTTCCAGTTCTCCTTTTTGAATCTGTTTTAGGCGTAAGAATCGTATGAGAATACGACAGCTATTGCAACAGGCCTCAGACATAGCAAGGATAGTCATAGTTGATAATACCAGTGCTAGGTGAAACAAGAACCCGAATGAACGCCAAATCATCTTGCCAGCGATGATGATCTAATGCTGGCCCACAGGTTCAAAGTTCCCTGCCTCAATGGCAGAGTGAAGCTCTTGGAGCTCTGAGAAGGCAGCGAACGAAGCTGGAAGTCTCAAGAGCAAAATCCCAAGCCATGGCCGGACCATACTTTTACAAAAGGGCCACGGGGATGAGGTAAAAGGTCTGGTGGGGAGCTCTAAGTTGGAGGGGAAAACATGGGAAGTCAGGTCAAAGCTTCAAAATTCCTCATGTTGTGAAGCGCTATCGCTACAACCGCTACAAGCATGAAGTTTTGTCAGGAGCCACTGGCCCATGCGCACTCGCGAAGAAGCAGCTGATTGATCTGCTGGTACTCCATAGAAGGTTTGCAGCTTTTGAAGCGTCCATGTCGTGCAGTAAAGTGCAGAGCGCCTCACCACGGACCCTCCTGTCACTGCTTGACACGGTGGCGTTCACAATCTCGTTGAAGGTGATGCAGTTCCTAAGGGCGTACAGGTTGCGATGAAAGACGAACAACATGAAGAGCAAAACATGGCAAGACCAAGCGAAAGGGCATTAAGCATCACTCTCCGAGGGCCGCACGGCTGAAGTTGCGCAACCTCAGAATCATCCATCAAGAACCCTGTGACTGTGAGCCGAAGCCTCCAAACATTTCCAAACTGTCACCTATCTCAATTAGCTGTTATCTGCTGTTGCATACTGAGCTCCCAGCCCGCATCTCTTCAACCAAAGCTCTGGCTTTGCTCATGTGCCCAGCCTGACAAGGGAATGATGCATTGCCAACGCTACTTGAGCCTCGCAGTCCCGCATGCCGCTTTAGATCAAGCAAGTGGCCTGCAGGTGGGCCTTGATGAGGGTGTTGTAGCTGACAACGTCGGAAATGCCCTTAGGCCCCAGTAGGCATTGCACGCCTTCTAAAACACTGCGCGCCTATCTGCGCAACAGCATCGGCAGAGATGCCCACAAAAGATCTTCGTCTTTTCCAACCTAGCCTCTACACGCAGGCCTTCTCCCCACAAGTCTGGGAGCAGCACGTCCTTCTTCATCTGCTCCATCCAGGCCTCAGCCTTCTCCAGCTTGGAGCATTCCACGCAAGCCTGGCAATGCACATGGCAACGTAGCAAAACTTTTCAAGTCTCCCTTTGGGCTCTGCTGGTCTGGGTGGCTGCTCTAAGTGGCTGACGTCGAGGACCGTATTGTAGACGACGCTGTTCAGCTCAACACCGCTGCTCTTCAAAGATTCGAACACATTCATTGCCTAGGAACCGGCTCCATCGTGAATCTCTGAAAGGGCGAAACGAAGCTACCGAGGGCCATGACTCCATCCAAGTTCTGCTCCAGAGCACAGCTGCGAATCATTGTGATGTGCTTGGCAACGTCTGACCTTTCCGTGGAAACGAAATGAAACACAAGGCCACTTGTCAAATGACACATTTCAAGGCTGCTGCGGGTTCTCTGAGAGGAGGGACTGCGCCTGCGCGGGGAATTGCAAACACGTCGCGATTCAGATGCAACAAGAAGAGTGGATGGCAGGGGGATCACATCTTTTGCTGTGACTTGTGCACAGATGCACAAAGATTCATCACCTGCCAGAGATTAGAGATCTGTGACCTCCCAGGTGGTGCCCGTCGCAAGGAGCCGCTGAAAAAGGCCATCTCCGCAACCGGCAGCGGGTGAGAAAACGCCACCTGCTCTTTGGGACTTGGGAAGGTCCGTCAAGGCCAGCGCGGCCTCTGCGCACATCCGGGCGGTGTCCTTGTAGCCGGGATCTGTGTAGAACTTCATGACTGCCTTGCACTTGGGGCTTTTGCTCTGGGTGTCTGCGAAGACTGTAAGGGTCAGGAATCCCTGCGACATCTCCTCAGCACTCGGCCCCACCCCAGGCTCTGGGATGACGCCCAGCTTGTACCACAGAGGCTGCGTGAAGGGCAAGTAGACGCTAACACCAAGAGCCATGTAGGTCATGTTCGACATGCCAAGCTGGCTGCTTTCCAGTATCGCCTCATGATACTTCAAATCAGGAACCATTTTGAGGACAGCGTTCGTTCTGCGCACCGAGTTGGCCATGACCGGCCCCATGATCCACGGACCACCTTTTTGTCCCATCTCCTCGTAGTACTGGCTACCTGTCAAGGAAACAAACTGGAAAACTCTCCTAGCATGATGCTGTGTCAAAGCCCGCTAACCCGGCTCTACAACAAAAGAGGGCATGCGGTTCCGTGACTTGAAAAACCACCAAGCTGCCTTTCGGAAGATCGACTTGTGTCAGGCACTCTGACTTCTGACCATCCAAAAGGTACAGCGGATCAAAGCCGAGCGAGCCTTTGCTGGGCTTCTGCTGCATGTTCAGCATAGCGGTGCTCATGGTCCCTCCGCTCGGGCATGTTCGCATCTCACTGAAAATCTTCACGCCAGCTAGCTCTGAACCCAGAAGCTTCCACAGCTTCCACACAGCCAAATCCCAAGGGACGCAATCCTGGCCACAGTGAATCACGATTCGTGCTCCCGACTGCTTGGCAGTCGCATCATACTTTTCAATCATCTTTCGCATGAAGGTGCTCTCCCCGCTGGTATCCACATAGTCAACGCCAAGCTCCGCACAAGCTTGTACAAGCGGTTCCCCATATTCCACAAAAGGCCCTACAGCAGTACAAACGCATTTTGCTTTCTTGACGACTTCTTTGAGCTCATCCAGCGTTGCGCTCACCACATCCAGTACAAAAACATCCGGCTTAGACTGGAAACCTTCGATCGCTTTGTCCAGCTTGCTCTGGCTGCGACCGCATATGGCAAGCTTGTACCCTCCTTTCGACTGCAAGTACGTCAGGATGAGAGAACCAGTAAATCCGGTCGCTCCAAAGATTACAACATCATATTGAGCCATGGAAGCCAAGCGCCTCCGGCCTGAAATCTTATCCGACGACCTAAGACTTCTGTTTAGACCTCCGGAGCCAGATGGCAGCAAGTGCAAGCACATGTGCAGGTATCAGTTTGGAGCGGCGCACGTTGCCATGTTGCGACCAGCACTGCCACTAGAAAGTGAAACAACCATGGCCTATAAGTATGTGCAACAGTTCCCACCGAGACAGCAGAATCTGTGTTCCGAGGATGCAGGGCAGGGAGGATCAGGGAATCGCACCAGCTTGCTGCGTCCGCACTTCAGGGCGGCATTCATGACGCACCGCCTCGCCATTGCTAGGTTTTCAACGACAGGTATCAGTGCTCCCAAGGCCATTGTGCGAGAAGCACTAGACAGCTGCCCAAAAGTTGCAGTAAAACCTGCCAAGGCATTCCTTGCGTCCTGCTATAAATGCTGAGGCCCGCGCTCCATGCGTGAGTCGAAGATGGCTCTGCCTATGAAACGAAAGGCACCAACTGGCCAAGTCCGAGATTGAGGACTTCAGGACTTCAGTCTTGAGGCATGTAGGCAATGATTAGCCGCTATCCAACTTGCCTCAGCAGATATTCAGAAAGTGCCCACAAAGTTTCAGGTTCCCAAAAAAGGAACTGCACCCCTCTGTTTCCACGGCCTTCGGCTGCAGCCTTCTCCCGCAATGATGCGGCATCCTTTTCCTTGATCATCAAAGGTACCAGCCAAAACGATGACTCCCTTTTGATGGGTCGTGTGCATGCACGCATATACTCTGATTGTATGATGATAGTGGCTCATGTGAGCAACTGCTATAAACAGCAAATACAATTTTGATCAATTTTGAAAGTCAAGGGTGTCGTTCCTTTGAGGAGGCGTCTTCATACCTATCGCTTGGAGGTGTTTTGTCGGATCCCCTGCCTGAATGCTCCACATCTTTGCTTTTGGATGGGATCCTTACAAGTTGCCCTTGGGGAGAAGGGGGAGGGCCATCGTTTTTTCTAGGTTTTGTTAGTGAGGGTAAGCTTTTCTCTGCCTCATCTTGGCCCCTACACAGGAGTACAGGCAGTCGCTCATGTGAGGAACGCACAAATCTGGAACTTACGCAGCTGGATGCATGAGCACTCGTGCTCTAGTGCACCCAGCGAGAGTCACATGGAAGCCGACAAATAAGCGTCACAGAATTCGGCCAGCAGCTGGCTTTATTTGCTGAAGGAAGCTCAAAATATGAAGGCTCAAGGAATCCTGTTCCACACAGCCAACACTGCTGTCAAGCAACTGCTCTAAATCGCTCTAAAACAGGGGCGGGTCCCTTTGCTAGCTACAAGTGGAGGTGCCTCTTTGCCAGAAGTCATCCAGGCAATCACTGAGATCTCGGCAAACATGTCACAAACCCGCTCATAGTTCTCCACCTGTGGTTTCTTGCACTTGTACGGCCTCAGCCTCGAGTATCCAGATTGCTTCGGCCTCGAAGTGGAAGCGCACGAAGGCGGCCAGGACTGCAGGCCTGGGCACTTTGGAGAAGTTCATGGAAGTTGGGAGCTTCGCATCGCTGAGAGTTGCACGGCATGCCTTTGGAGAAGTGTTGGTATGCCCGATCTGCCTTGGAAGATCTTCTCTGGCACGGCGGCCCCAGCTGCTGCATTCGCTGATGCGCTGCAACTTTCCGTTAACACATTCTGAGCGATGGGCGAGTGCAAAATTGCGCGTCCTTTGTGCCGTGCTTCTGAACGAAAAAGGAGAAAAGAGAGTCATCCAGAGTGTCTGAGTAAGCGGCTGCTGGCAGCACGAAAGCAGTGCGAGGCACAGCTCTTGTCCTTCCGAAAGCTTTGCAAGTCAAATGGATAGCGGCCCAGCTACCACTTCAATCGGCTTCATATGCTGGAAGCCTGGAAGCCAACTACCGTCGAATCGTATGACAATCAGATCAAGACGGGTGCAGGCATCCCAGAAAGTGCCGATATCCTACAGCATCCGACTTCTTCTCCATGGCTTCTTGAAAAAGCTTCTCAACTTTGTCATCGTGATCTGGCGCATGGTCAAGGCAATGCTGCACATGCTGCACATACAAGCCACTGCAATTCCCTCCCACTGCTGCCATGCAGACAGCATGGCCTTTGTATCCCTTCATGAGCATGGCATACGTGAACTCGGAAAATGCCTCCAGTCTTGATTCGGTAACTTGCTCAAATGAAAGCCTGACTTTCTCTGGTTGTGATTTGAAATGTTTCAGCGTATCCCTGCCAGAAAAGGAAAGCTCAGAGCCCCACAATGTCTTTCTCTCGTGCAAGAGTTTCAACCTGGCAAGGCTATCCATGATGCTCCGCCAAGGAGGGGTGAATTGCTTCCCAACAAGCAGGCACCAACTCAAAGGGGCATGCCGGAATGCTACGGTTTCCCAATTGTCCCGAAAAGGGGGGGCCCCCACGCTGCAAAAACAACACATTCAAACGCAGACACACACACAGGCCGCCTGTTTCAGAAGCTTCTCATCTTTCTCTCTAACAGCTTCTGTCACCATGGCTTGGATGTCCTTAGAGCTTTGCCAGGAATGCCACAAACAGGAATCCCTGTTCTCCTTATACTGAAGCCCCGACCACCAACCTGACCTAGTAAAAGTTCGCTGAAAATATTGCTTCAATGGAATGACTGACAGTGGGTATGGCTTTGTTTCTGAGGAAAGAATGTTCAGGGCCCCTGGCATGCTCTGACAAGGGGATGGTCGCAAGCTCGGGAAGGATCAGGTCGAGCTTATGCTCCTCGCGCGCACAGGTGCGGAGTTCTTGCTGGTGGTCATGGACTGACATTAGCGCCTTCTTCAAACTAACGAGTTTTAGGACAGGATAATGAAGATAACTGCTCACATGGTGGGTACCGCCGACCTGGTACCATGCTACTAACCTGATCCGATCTGCTACCTGGCGTGCTCAAATACTAGATCTCCTTGCAGGCCATGTCCACGAGATGTCCGACCTCATGGCACCAAGAACTTCCAAAAAGTTTCTGGCCGACCAGCTCATACAAAGCTGCTGCAACCACCACTGCCATCACGTTTACTACAACAATGATTGCAGCGACGACAACCATCCTCACCACCACCTCTACTTCCACTTCTACTGCTGTGATGGAGGCCTGAGCTCTTGGCAATATGACGAGGGGCCATGGAGGGCCCTGCTGCCGCCGGACCTGGCGCTTCAGCTGGATTGGGAAGTCGAACGGCAGTTCCCTGAAAGCCCGGGGAAACACTAAAAGTCCCTCAAACAATACCTGCCGGTGGCCTGTCCAGAGGGATTTGAGCTCCCGGAAAGTTGCCAGGGCCTGGCCGAACTTCCGATGCAGAAAAATGAGAGGACCCCTGATTCCAGATTCTTTACAGGGTCCGATGAACTTCAATGTGCCCAAACACCTTCTAGAAGCTTCCCTGAAAACAAGGAGCCCCGCTGAGCTGAGGCCCAAGCATCCTTGAAGTTTTGGGTCTTCAGAGCCGTCTTGATTGCCGCGAGAGACGCTTTGGTGGCCGAGGGCACCTACAGAAAAGTATCCACATGGTACACCCATGGATCTATTTTGTGCTCTGAGCAAAAAGGGAACATGAGTTTGTACAGGGTTTGACGTGATTTGTCGTGTTGAAAACAATGGCTCCGGGAAAGCCTGATCTCGCAAAGAGAGAAACAATTACCAACCCTAAAAACAGACACGTGGATTGAGTATCCCCGATCCATGTCCCGACAAACAGGAAGGGCCTCTGCAAGTTCAAAAACTTCCAAAAATCTTCAGCTTAGACTCAAGGTTTTCACACATGCACACACGCTTTGACAAGGCAAGCGCTTGCGCACCGGACTGCAGACAGGACTAACTTTCCTAGCCCAAGGCACAACAAACACGGTCATGGAAGCGAAACGATTGTTTTGATTCCAAAGGTATGCCAGACAGAAGGACCGGTACGCCCTTAAACCTAGATGAAAATGAGTACGTGGGGTCAGGGTCCTGCCACGTTGTGCAAGTGAGATGGCAACGAAAATGAGGATGAAACCCCATCAGCTGCCCCCGCAAGGACCTGGGACGAGACCGGTGTGGGTACGGTTGCCCCACAAGGATGCGTTCGTTGGCTGATGGCTTCCAGACTCGGCAACGCCCCCCCACTTGCTGAAAAACGCGTCAAGGCATTAAACAACATGGTAGTTTCCCAAAATAAGGGGACCCCAATATAGACCCCAAAATACTATAGTCCTAATTATGGGGACCCCCAGAATGGTACCCCTAATTTTGGGAAACCCCACCATCAACGCGTAGGAAAAATGCAAGGCGGGCCTGACCCACATTCCTGTGTGTACAAGAGCTTATGCACGCACAAACAGAGGTCAGAAGACACAAGCAGCCTACACGCACAACAACACACATGAACGAAAGCTTTGAAAAACATTGACATGTGGGGTTACCCGGTTCTTGAAATCTTGACGAAAACAAATTCTGAAATTTGTGTTTATTGCATGAAAGTTATCCGAGATAATGGTGTTGTTCTAATTTGTTGGTGCTAATGGAAATTGTGCAAAAACTTATGCTGTTCTGTCTGAAACAGGATCTGAAACACGACAAAAGACACTTGAGCGCTAGGATCTCAAAAAAAGAACGGGCGCATGTCATTGGGAGGGGAGCGACCACATGTATCAATTGTAACAGATCCCAGTTTTATTATCTGCCCCGTAAAATCCTCATACGACGGCCTTTAAACTCACGGGCCATGTCATGTTCCATGTGATTTCCACTTTCCGCATTATCTAGGCACCTAGAGTCAACCCTAAGGACCCTTCACAAGCAAAGTGTGAATGTCATTTGTCCGTTTGATCGTCCATTAAATGTTCAATTGGACTTACCATTGATTCTCCGTGGTTCTCATATACCCCAAACTAGCCTTATACACCCGTATATGCGCTGTAGTCTAAACTCCGAGTATCCCCCTTGATAACGTCTATAATACTCCCCTGTATAATCCCCCTTGTAACCCCTTTAAGGAGTTTAGACTATAGCTCATACGACCCTATAGCACCCGCAAATCCCCTTTGTAATCGCCTGAAAGGCGGCTTTTCAGGCGTTTAGACTATAGCTCATATAACCCTGCAGCACTCGCAAAATCCCTTCAAAAAAAAAAACTACCTCCTTTAAGGAGTCTAGACTATAGCTCATGTAACCCCATAGCACCTCTAAAGGGTACATAACTCGCCTGCCTTGGCGCTGGTGGAATGACGTGGAGCTGCAGAAAAAGTCTCCTCAGAGGTGCACGTCCAATGTCTTCTGAGACATTGAGAACCCGAAACAAGGGCCCCTTTTGCAAGGTAGTATATGGGGACTAGAGTGTAGGGCAAGAACCATGGTTTCAGGGTTGTTGACTTGCTTGCTTCTAGTCGGGAATGAAGGAGCAGAAGAAACCATGGAGGCTACCGGTAGAGTTTTCAGTTTCGATTCTAGCAAATTAGGCAGAAATTGGAAGCTTCTATACATTCTTGCGGATGATTCAGGGGCCACTGTACAAAATCCATTCCTGAATTCCCTACCATTAGCCAATGAGCGAAAGGCAGAGCACCTCAGTTGTTGCATCCAAGGCTCCTTGCCACTTTTGTGCTTAGTCTTCTGGGGAGTGGAGTTGCCAAACAGCAGGAAATGGGCCTTTGCTGGAGAGCATCTGATGAACTCTGCGTCTTCAGTGCCACCCCTGGATACCCTGGTGACTCGAGTAGGAGTCATGATCAACTGCATGGCAAAAGCCTGAGAGCCGAACCAACAGAGCTGCCAGGAACAAGGTCAGCTCAAGGCGGGCGGACACGAGAAAGGTCCATGCCTGCAAAACCAGCATCCTTCAAGAACACAGGTAATGCGGCTTCCAGAATTGAACTGATTATTATCTAGCCTCCACCTTTTCTAGAGAATAACCATTTCAATAAGCTAAGAGTTTGTGCAGTATTTCCGCTTCTCCATGCCTGAGAGAAGAAATCTCCCTCCATGGCCACGGACCTGAGCCGTTGCAGCTAAACTCCTAAGCGATCGTTACAGCCCAGAAGTGCTATTGATATTACTATTTTCATGGATCATCTTTATACATGGGGACGTTTCAGAATGAGCTTAGTTGTACATCAACAATGCTTGACAGCTTCAAGCATCTGAGAGCACTCTGTATAGTTGACACTCATGCTCTGTGTGAACTTCCAGACCCCTTGGTGCCCGACATGTTGCTTGTATATGAACTCGAGTTCATTGCTCAGGTGCAGTGTACGCTGAGTATCAACCTGTCATGAAGATCAGAAGTCAAACAAGAATCACATGCCCTTCATGTAGAGGATCTCACTTGTCAACAAACCCAAAGACAGATGCAGCACCTCCGCAAAGCGGTGGCGAAGATGCAATAGTACAGAGTGGCCTCATGCAGCAAACCAGGTGACACGCGAGCGTGTAAGCACAGCACGTGTCATTCCAGTAACTTATACACGCATGCACACCACGCACACCAGAAAATGGGGCCCGTCAGGACTCCAGTTGCATTGCCTGTTTGCCCTTAAACAACCCCAAGCGCTGCACTCTGCGCGTAAGTGTTGCCGCCAAACTCGGTGGGTGACAGGCAGCTTTGAGCCAAACGGCATGGTTCAAAACCCAACTCTTAGACTGGAAGATCGTATTCGCAAGCTACAACATCCACTGTCCACAAAGCGTCTCAAGGCGCTTCAACACGTTCCTCGAAAATGTCCGCGAGTCTTGCCCAATCTCTGCTAAAGACATGGTTCATTGTGGTTTTCAGAAGCTGCGCTGCTGAGCTCCTCCAGGAATGCTCGATTTTGCTGTTCAAGCTCTGCAACATCACGTCGAACCTCCACGTCAGATGCAAAATTGGCACATATCCCTACAAAAAGATGGATAGATGGATCCCCTTAACCCTACATATCCGTAGGTATCCCTGTACAAGCCCGCTCCGTTTATCCAAGTACATAACTGTTGCGACCGTTCAAAGCCTGCCTGCTCTTGCTCTTCATTGATTCGCTGGCTCTCTGCCACCAGCTTCTCACATTCCTGCTGAATCCTAAGGCACTCTCACACTCCCCCTTGAAATCCCTTCAATCCTTAGCATGCCTAGGGATACCGTATGTTGAGAACCTCCCACATCTGCTGTAGAGCATTCTGGGTCTAGAGGGAAGGGACGGCACGAAATACCCGCAACGAGATCTTATGCTTGGGTGCAAGCTTCGGGATTGAGAGGCTTGTGTCTTGGCATCGACGTATCTTAGAGCGACTTAGGTAACTTTGAGCAAATACGCTTCTGTGGCCATGGCACAGGCAGCGAAACGTAGGAAGGAGGCTTGGATCTGGGAAAGTCGTGGCCGACTGTGAAGGCTGAGGGGCCTCCGCCTTTTTGCCCACGAGCTCTTCCAGCTCCTGCTGCATGGCGCAGGAAACTGGATGGTCCGGACCCATGAACATATATGAGAAATTCCAAATGCACAGGCAACCCTGATGCTAGGCTTCACTCAAATACCAAGAAAAGTCAGACACACGGAGAGAGATTCTCTCAACCCTTGGGGGACAGTATTACTGAGGATCCGCACCTTGATGCGCTGTTCAGATATGATCCGTTGGTCCGCAGCCGAGGAAAAGGCAAATTTCTGCAGCGGAACAGGGCTTGATGTGAAGGGTGTCGGGCTGGTCAGGCTTAGTGCTTGTTTGGGAAGGAGGAAGGTTGGAGCTACCTTACAAGGATCGACAATTGCTGCTGGGGCCATTTGTTACTTTGTTCGCTGGTGCACAGCTTTTGAAAGATACCTAAACTCCCTGCACTTTTTTGCATACGGCGACGGCTTGCAAACAGTCCGCAGCATCATTTGAGTGGCGCCTCCTGCTACTTGTCCGAATGGTACTTCTCTCCCCGCGCAGTGCTAATGGGTGACTGCTGCTCCTCCTCCTCCTGCTCCTGCTCCTGCTCCTGCTCCTGCTCCTCCTCCTCTTTCACCTCCTGCTCCTTGCACCACACTCACAGCCAAGTGCACGGCTGTGATGTCGCGAATCTGCCTGCTCGGGCTAGAAAGGGAGGGGCACTGAGCATGGTTGGGGACTGCGCAATCTGAAGGACCGATTCTGGGAGTCTCTTTTGCCAAATTGTTCGGCCGTATGGCCGAAAATGGGATTAGGGGTGAAAGCCCACCAACCCCGCATCTTGGAGACCTTAGGGTTTTCGGGGGTCGCTGCAGCCTATGACAACTCATGCTCTACCCCAAATGAGGGTTTACATAAGTAAGGGGACCCTAATATCGACCGCCATATACTATAATCCAAATTATGGGGACCCCAAAAAAGTACCCTAATCTTGGGAAATCCCCAGATAGATTGCCCTGACAATGAAGAGACTGGGCAAACATGAACATAGTTGAAGCTCACGAAGTTGCTGGTGCTGTTGCTGCTGCTCTTCTTTGACCAGGAATGGAGGACTACTCAAAACCCTGCACAAGCCGTGTCCAGGGGGGTTGGGCTGCAGTCCTCAAAGCCATTAGCTGATTTGCAGAAATCCAGCCAGAAGCAGCTTCTGCAAGATGCGGCAGCACATCCGCACTCTGTAGGAAAGGATGGCCACACACACGGGCATCGTTTCGAAGACACAAAGGCTCCCAAACGTCAAGTCTTGTCCCTCGCTGAAACCGGTTCTTTGCTCACACTGGCAGGACCAGGTTCATGGACCTCGTCGTGAGCAATGCCCGTTGGGCCTCCGCTTCTTCAACCCAGAGGCTGTCCCTCATACGCCCCCATTTTGGCAAATACCCACTCACCAAAATTGCAGCACAGGCAGGCAATCATCATTTTTTGTCATACCGTCTGCCAACAGACTTCTCATGTGACTAGACGACCTAACGAAAAAGCCATGCCACAGCACAGGCCTGCTAGAATCTCAAGTACTGACTTTCCAAAGTAGTGAAACTTGTCATGGATCCGGTCAGCTCGCATCTGTTTGGAGGCCCTTTCATCAGCATGTACAGCTGTTCTGGCCAGATCCAGTGACAACCGTGGCAGTCCTTGTTTAAGGGTGCTGCAAAACTAGATGGACCGGCTTTGATGCTGCAGAGAGAGGAGTTCAAAAGGGCTACTCGGGCCTCGAATCAAAAGCATGCACGGAATTCCTCTCCGCCACAGCTTCCTTTGCAAAGCAGGGTCAGCCTACGCACTACAGCATGACAGCTCTTGAAACATGAGAGTGGATGCCAAGGAATCATCAAGAACAAGAACAGGAAGCTGTCTTGAACAAGGTCTTGGCTGTCTCCAGGCTAAGGGAGTGTCAGCTCCTCCATGCTCCATGCAATGGAGGCTTCTCCGGCGAGTGACGCCCAGCTGCTTAGATTATTTGGCACAACTGCCTCGCTGGCACCTCATGTACCAAGGAGGAGGTGACAGGAGCTTGATGAAGCGCAAAAGGGTAGCAACAAAACAAGCTCGTTATGGCAAGGAAAGCAGATCCTGCAAACCCTTATCAGTCATCACTATAAGTCGCTGTGCAGTAATGCGGCACTTGAATTCCGAGCAGTGCTCTCCTACAGGGTACAGCCCAAAAAGGAGCTGCGACGGTGCCATCTGCTTCGCAATGGCTGCCTTGCAACCAGAGCATCGTAGCTGCAGTGCATCCTCTCTGGACACAGTTGTCCAAGATTGTTGCATTTTTTAGCCTGGGCCGTGCTTTGGACCCTTGTGGAAAGCCATTGAAACAAGTCGTGACCTACTTTGTAGGCTCCTCCGCAGCAGGCTCCATGTTGGATCTCAGGCGCCTGCAGCAATTGCTGAACATCCCGTCATCAATTTTCCCTTGAGTAGTGCTCTGCTGCTGGTCCATCTGAGTCTGGGTCATAGCACTCCTCTTCACGGATGTCGTGCTGCGCCTACGACGGAGCTTGGAAGCTGCAGCTTGGCTCCTCCCCACCCCTAAATTGAATACCCCCAATAGATTACAGTATACCACACAATGGGAGTGTTGAATATTCGGAGGGTGGGGGGTTCCAAAGCAGACTGTGCATCCCTGCCTGCTTGCTGGCAGACTCCTCGCGCCAGCCCTCCGCAAGCTTTGCGAGCCCAAAAGCGGAGGCAAAGTATCCTTGCACAGCCAGCGCTTGGGGAAGACAGCACACATCCGTACGAAGCACATTCTCTCTAAGGACATCTAAGGACATGCTATGCATGCTGAGACTGACACCTTCTTGTTTGTCTGCAACGGTGACAGCATGGGGTCCTGAGATGCCCGATTCTGCACCAGGCTCGCACTCCAACATACTGTATCTAAGCCATCTAAGCAAGGTTGTGGGAACGGCAAATTCGCATGATGAGTTGTGTACTCCTGGCAAACAAGTTTTGCATGGTTGGGGACATGAATGGCCATGTCAAAGACTTCTCAAGCACAGAATACCCTCTTCCTAATTTGTTCAACAGAACCCAGATTTTGGTAAAGAAGCGGTCAAGAAAACTGTGGTGCATTCCTGAGAACCAACAGAAGGCCTTCAAAGACCAACTTGCTCACTCCTGCAGCCCAGGAGCTCCACGCCTGACAGGTCCGTCTTGAGTATCACGAACTAAGCATTCACTTCTCTCACTCTCCAGGTGGCCTCTTCAGGGCTGAGGCACTTGTGCACCTCTTGACGACTGTCGGGGTAGTCAGGAAGGATCGGGCCAGCGGCTCCTGCGAAGCCAAACTCTCACGGCAAAGCGTATATTCTGCACTTCTCCTGCGGCGGCAGCACGTCATAAACCTGCTCAGGAAGAGGTGCATGTTCTGGACGCAAGGCTTGCGCAAGGCTGGGCCTGCCACGCCGAGATCTTGGCCCACGTGCAGGACACAAGGACAGAGCGCACCAGTTTCAACCTTCATCTGTTGTCATGCTCTTCAGACATCTTCAGCCGATGCAACCAGGCCTGGAGTGCAGAAGAGGAGTGATGCTCACCAGACGCCTGGGTCAGGGCGCGGCAGCGCACAGTTTGAGGGCATGTGGTCATAGTGGTACAAGGCTTCATATATATGTGGCAAGGTCCTGAAAGAGGGACAGCGAAGGAGACAGTTGACCGTGCGGCTCTGCACGCCCATGTCCATGCAGAGGTTTGTCAGGACCGCTACCTGCGAATTGATCACACTGGATCGACACTGTTTGAAATACCTAGAACCAAATCAAGCTGAGAATCCGTTGGGTCCAGATAGCGGTGCCTGCATAGCTTGACGACGCAGACGCAGAAAACGCTGAAGGGCAAAACGCAAGGTAGTTTCCCAACATGAGGGATACCTTTTTGGCGGTCCCCAAAATGCTCATGGCAGTCTTCTGGGGTCCATACTTTTAATGTTGGGAAACTACTACAACCGTATATTTTTGCATATACTGGGATATTGACTACAATAAAAGTAGCAATAAGAATAGCAATTTGGGAGGACCCCCCACCCGTAATTGCTATAATAGGAATATAAGAGGACCCTATATATATATATATTCCTTGTTAACCCTTATAGTCACTATTACAGGGTGGGGGGCCCACCTCAAGAATAATCAAAGAACTTTTGAGCCAGGCCTGCTAATGTCCGCGAGCCTTGCAGAAAGGAACATGCAACTGAACTATCAGCTCTACTACAATACCTTACTGGGGTTTGGTAGGGAATAAGGGACTGCACTACATAGAGCTTCCACAGGGAACATATTCCTTCATTCCCTACTAGCATCTACTAACCACGAGTGAGCAAATCTTGCATGGAACAGCAGAATTGAGGAGCTTTTGCCACCGAGCAACATGAACTTGTACTCCGTCGCAGGCGACTGGGATTTGCCTGCCTTCTTCAGTGAGTCAAGCTCCTGGCCGTGTCAAATCTGAGCCCTGTTGAACGAGACTCAGGGCCATGATAAGAAGCGAAATCTTTGAAGCAAGCCATGCGGTTTGGAACTCTAGAATTCTAGAAGATTTCAGAAACTTGCGCAATCCTGAAGGAACCTACAAGCAGCAATCATGTGTGCAAACAAAGGGTACAAGTCGCCTTCACACAATGCAAAAGGGTGTGTCTTCAAACATAGCCTCCTGTCCTCGAATGAGAAGGGCACAGCAGATTTTGATTTGACCCATAACAATCCTTTACGAAGCGCAGGCGTTTTGGCAACCAAGACCATAACCTGAAGATTCCACCTCCTTCCTGGTAGGCAGGTGTTAAGGCTAATGATCGCTGCTCTGCTTGCTGCTGCAGCCTGCTGTCCCGCAGCCGCCACCACTAAGCACGCAATCTCGGGAACTCAAGCATCGTGGCAATCGTGGCTGTAGAGGTTTTTTTGAGAAGGCAAAACAGCCAAACCATGGCATGCAAACTTGTGTCAGCATGTGGAAGACGACTTCTATAATTAGGTAGCAATGTTGGAAGGAGTAGCAAGCACTGATTGAAGCAGTCCTCATCTAGAGAGCAGCGTGCCCCCTCGGCAAGCAGGAAGCGGCGCTGCCCAACTTCGAGCCCGACAGAACGGGCTGCATCTCCCCTCAAGGCCACATAGAGCACCAGCTTCCCAACCCCACAACCCAGATCGTAGAAGACGTCGCCTTGCCCAAGCTCCAGCGCACTATACAAGGGCTGCATGCCTTGGTACGTGATCTCACCGTACTGCAGGTTCCCAGGATCGATGTTCTGATCAGTGCTGTCGACCCCGAAGCCAGTGTGGTTCTTGGCAAAAACTTTCTGCAAGCATGCGATGGCATCCGCATGGCCGATTCCCATTCCGGACTTCGCAGGCATGCTGAGCTGAACGTTGCCAGCTCAGGCGCAGGACGATGTCATTGCACAGCAGGCAGCTCCTTTTTGGCAATTGAGACAATTACGTGCTTTGCTTGTGTCAGCTTTACCCTTTGCAAACAACAGGATCTTCTTCGGCATATGAATTGCTGCCACCCTTCGAGCCGAAACACCCAACGCAACGTGCCAGCTCTTCAAGCTCTGCTTGAACACATCATGGACCGAGCGAAGCAGCTCGTGTGGCCTCTTCATCTCGTCTCCAGAAGCGATCGCCTCATCAAACGCGTTTTGCTTGATAAGGACCAAAAAACCTGCACATCTTGGGACGTGTTGCAGGGCCTGGGCCAGCTGGGCTCGAAGGCCATAGTTCTCCTCTGGCATTGAACCTTGCACCTCCGCAAACAAGCATTCTCAACAAGGTTGGCAATTTAAACATGAGCAGCAGAAAATGGTATCGGAAGAAATCCGCAGCCTGAGCGTGATGCAGCTCGGTGGACAATACCGCCACGTCGATGGCAAGCCTTGGACGCTGTAATGGTCCATCCAAGCGTCTTAGGGGAGAGGAATAAACCTGGTCAGTTAGTCTGGCCGACTATATCAAATTGGCAAAAGAAAGGAGGAGAGAGTAGGTAGCAGGCCTTCAACCTGGGACACAAAAAGACTCGGGAATTTGAGTTTCTGCGCCCTGCTCCCTGACCAGGGTACTGTGAACCATCAGAGCGGGGGCCGTCTCTCAAGATTGCCTTGCAACATTTGAAGCCCTCGAGCCATTGACATTGGCATTCATTACCGATCGTTTTCTGACTTGGAGCCTCCATCGGAGCCACCGTCAGGGCTGCTCTGAGATGCAGGCTGCTGCGCATCGTGCCGCATAGAGGTATCTACATGGCGGGCCTGGCAGGAAAGCCGTCAAGAATTGGCACACCAGAATGCTGTCTTCCTGCGGATAAATGAGAATCAGTCTGAAACGAAGCCAGGACAAGCAGGTAGGCTGAGCACTTGCCTTCTCCCTCTGGCGCTCAAGAGCTGATTCCAGAGAGCTGATTTTGGCATCCTGCGCTCCAGCTAGGAGCGACTGAATTGACTGAATACAAGGCAAAAGAGCTTGAGCGGTGCCGTAATTGTACTCTCAGCATTCAACCCAGAGTCCTTAGCCTTGATTTTTTCCTTGTACCTGCAGCAGCTCTTCTTGACATGCCCCCGGCTGTCAGCCAAAGCCACTGGCCTTATCTTGGACTTATCGTGCAAGGCATCCTCGGACATCTTGTCCACAAGCAGCTTGTCGAGCCTAAGAGAAACAAAGCAAAGCTCTTGAAAACCGTCGAGCATGGGGGCTCCCTGAGACGACGGACTGGCTGGATAGCTCCCGGTTGCGATTTCGGAGCTCCGTCACCTCACAGAACTGTCTGTTCTGGGAACTAACTGGGTATGCACTTCGGTTGACAAACCACTCAGAGAAGCCTCATCACACACTCCCTACCCTCTCCATCCTCTCCCAACGCAGCAAATTGCCTGAGCCCTCCTCCTGTACGTTTGAAACACTGCCCGATCAGCTGCCGGTTACTACGCCAGAAACTTACCAATACCAAGGTGACCTGGCGTCATCTGGCCTGCCACAGCCCCCGACCCAAAGCGTTTACACTTGTGGACCCTTTGTGGACATGCATGGGGAATGATTCAGGAATTTCGGAAGCTCTTATTCTGGAAATCCCAGCGGGCAATGGCATTCCTGCGTCCCATGCCCCACTGAGTATCTTGAACAACCGGCCGCCTGCTGCTTGACCTGCTCATCCATCGCAGGCACGGCGGAGAGCGGTGCAATGGCAGGCACCTGTGAGGAGCAAGGCTCCAGCTGCCAACCCATCCACCTGTAATCCATGTTCATCCTTGTGTTTGCTTTGCACAAAATGTCAGATTCATTTTCACATTCATGATTCTACCTGTATGCAAGCTATCTACAATACCAGCCCATTTCAGCGTAGGCCTCCGGAGGAAGCGAGGGAAGCGACAGCCCGAGACAGGTGTGAGCAGGCTGAAGACTTGGAGCTGCTGGATCCTCAATGCCAGTCTCACAAGAACTGTTGAGATAACACAGCTGCATCAGCAGTGGCAGTAGCCGCAGCGCGGTGTAGTACCGCAAGCACCACTAGCGTTAGCCTTGCGTAGTATGCCATTTCAGTTGCACTTGCTTGAGCGTTCGCACACCCAAACAGGAGCCGACACAAGCCATGCCATTTACCTCGAGAGTGAGGTAGACAACAACTCACCCACCCGTCCAACTTAAACTCGAACTTCAGACCCATGGTCAAAGTTTATCAATTAGCATCATCTTCTGACGTCCTTCGCATCCGTCGGAGGCCTCTGCAAAAAGCAAGCAAACCGCCACCAGCGAGATCAAATCTCAGCATCTGCCAACTTGCTTAGCTCCAGGCGCCGGCAAGGATACTGGCGGGGCAACCCTCCAAGATGCGCAACGATGCTACCACTGCTTCTCTATGCAGATAATTCTTTAAAAATCCTCTTCACATCACCGTAGCAACATTGCTATTTCATACAGCGACAGCAATGCCCCGGACTCACAGCAAAAGCACACCGTGCCTAGGGGCCAGTGGAGCCCTTGGCGAAGCCCTCGGAGAGGCACGTCCCTTCCCCTGCGGCGAAGAGGAAGGGCAGGGAACAGTTTAGGGAGATGGCCAGGTCTGGGACCACAATACTATAATAGTTTCCATTCTCTTTTCCTTTCGTCCCCGTACAGTAATACCCTAAACCCTAAAAACCCTAAAAGCCTAAACCTTAGTAAGCCCAGTATACTGAAGCAACTGACTTGTGACAAGCTTCGCAATCAAACACCAAACCAGCTGCAACCAAGGCACGGAAGGCGACTCGACGGGAGGCGGAGGAGCCAAGCATCCAAGACTCGGTGGCCTGATGCGAGCTTACTGGTTCTTAGTGGGAATAAAGGAAAATGATGTGCTATATAGGGATTATGTACGGATTATATAAGGTATTTAGTAGGGAATGAGGGAAGACAATGTATTATATAGGGGTTATACAAGGATTGTATAGGGGTTATATTCCAGGATATGTATCATATAGGGTTTTTATACGGATTATATAGGGGTTATATTCCAGGGAAGATATAATAAAGGGATTATACAGGCCGAATTCGGCGATTTTATGGGGGGTTATATTCCAGGGAATATACTATGTAGGGATTACAGGAGAATTATATAGGGGTTGAATTCCCTCATTCCCTACTGAGAACCAGTAAGCAAGGAGTCATGACCTCCGTCTTCCAGACTTGCTGAGCATGTATTTGCTGCTGCAAGTTCGACAACCCAAGGAATGTAAGCCTGCATGAGTTCCTCGCTACCTGGATCAGTAACCTTTTCTAGCCCACATTCCCTCCGTTTGAGCACAGCTGGGCATTGTGGCGCAGACCCTGCCTGGCGTAAGGCGAGGTGGCTACCGGCGACCCGGGGACGTGCAATGCCTGAAGGCTTCGAAGTTGCTGAGGTCTGCTGGATTTCAGGCAAGCGAGCGTCATAGACGCCCTCATTGAGATCTATGGGAATTCTGGTGCTGCATCCATCCCCTCTCATAGTTCAGCCTTGCAGGCTGTATCAGCGAAATCTCACTACGGATTGATGAAGAATGTCGTACTGCGACAAGCTTCTTGATACTTGACACCACTTTCTCCAAACCATCCAGCATCGACTTCTAGGACCTGCCGCACTGCGTGCCAATCTCAAACCAAACAACTTTAAGCAGCAGCTTCAACAACCGCAGTTGAAATTCAGATTCTTGACCCTCTGTATATGTCTTCCTTTTCCGTATACAGAACAGAATTTGAACCGGAACGATAGATGTAATCATTGAAGACAGCCTTTTGAGGGTGGGAACATTTGGGGCAGGTCGTGTGGAGGAATGGGCCGAACAGGCTCGGAAAGCATGCGAGCAAACTGATTCATACTGTTTGACTTCTCGCCAAAGCCTTCCAAATCTGAAACAGGCTCTGGTCTGAATAGCTCAGATGTGCTGATCTGTTTGTGTTTGAGCTCACAGGCGAAGTTCTTTGCGAAGGGAGAACCATCATTGTACAAGCGAAGCAGACATAATATTACGATTGCATTGGGAAGTCAATGCACGCTCTGACCGACAGTTTTGCTTTCCTTGTGTACTTCCGCGCTGTATCTGCGTTCCAAAACCTTGCAGCATGCTGACAACATGAAGCTGTTCGCCCTGCGAAGATCATTCAAGTTTACAACCTGTAGCATGGCCTCACTATGCCTCTGACTTGGTGTTACAGCCTGAAGAAAGGTTTTAAAGAGCTTCGGAGAGCACATCAGACATACCGTATGTCTTGACATACCTGTCAACTTTTTTCTGTATGTATGGCACACATACCCAAAGAATGGATGAGCTCAGGTGGGATGATGTATCCAAGGATAGCCAGTGAGTTCTTGCACCTCATGCGAGGCCCGTGCTGGCAACGGTGTTCTCTGCGCAGGTGGAGACAGGGATCGAGCTGGACCCTCTGCTGGTCGAATGCCCTCGGCCATCCGCTTGCTTACATGAACATGTGCCTCCCTGCAGCCATCCCGACCGTTTGTCATAGCAGGCGAATTCGGCGAATTTGAGACTGCTTGTGATAGCCGTGATTCGGCATTGATGGTAATGATTGTAGAAATGGCCTCTATGGGTATTCATAAGAATGAGAGCAGTATTGTTAGGACAACCTGATTGCCAGAATCCTTGTTGGAGTTGCATTTGCAATGATATTCCGGCCAATCCCTGGACCCTGGACCCCGCTGCAGTGTACTGTTACCTCATCTGTCAACCTGCTTAGCCAACTAGTCGTGCTACAACCAAAATCAAAACTGGATGATCAGTGTCACCCACAAACCCATGCCTATCCTGACTTGAGATCCGACTGTCCCTGCGCAGTCAAGTCCTAACCGTCAACCACATGCGTGAATTGAGACGCCTCAGCAAAGCCTCGC